AAAGCTGGAGGATGGGGCTGAGGGGAGGTGGAAACTGGGTGATTTTGTTGGATTGAGTGTCCCAATTATGTGAATTTGGATTAAGTTTGGGGTGGCCTTGCTTCCTTGAACATTTTCCAGAGAGCATGCAGCTTTTTTGGCCTGTTCCAAGGATTGGAATGTGCATAAACCACTCAATATCCCAAATTGATCCAAATTGAGGGAGCGGACATTTTGATGTTGGCTGCAACCCTGAGATTCCCCCGCCTGTCTTGCAGACCATTGTCATCCTTCACAAGAATACTATTTTTCTGTGTGTTCATGAAAGTCTGAACTGGGGCGAAGATGTTCTATCTGATTCTATCTCGAAAGGTGGCGCTAAGCTACATGACCTCTCTCCGTGCATAAGCAAGTATGGCTGGTTCCTGTCCAAGTGCTTGCTTTTTGGCAATTTAGTCTCAATTCAGTTCTTTTTTTCAAGGCCGTTCGATGAACTGTTCCGGATTATGCCATCAAGCGCCGAGGACGCTTGAATGAATTTCCTTTTATTGTCAACATCGACGTTGTCTCAAGACGATCTTATGTAAACATGATGGTCTTATCATAAGCAGATCCTACATTAAGAACATGGTTTCTCAACAGGATCCTTTTCTGACCTGATCTTCTCTTTGCATAATCTTCTGCTGAAGTGATGCTAGATGACTAGATGCTATCTGCATATGATATTTTGATTCATATTATTATTATTATTATTCCAAAATTTATGACCTAATCCTAAGGAAACTAAGGAAACTAAGGAAACAGTATGTTAGGGTCATCCTATGTGAACCTGATCTCATTTGGACAGGACCTTGTGTCAATATGAATGGTCTTATCTTCGGATCTATGAAGAATATCCTATCTGAAGAGGAACATGTGTTGACATGATTGTATGTAAACACAATCTTGTTGTAATACGTTCTTGCCCATTCTTGCCTAAAGATAAGCTAACAGGAAATCACAGAAGATCTCACCTTTGACGAGGTCATGGAAAGTCTTGTTTTGAGTTGGGCTGAAAATGACAGCTTGACTTTACCTTACTGAGGAGGGCTTACCGAAAGAGATGACCTGATCTTTATGTATAATGATTAAATGATTTTACCTTGAGAGCAGCTTATATCTTATCTTAAGATGATCTCTCGATCGATGTCATGGTAACAGAATGGGATCTTGCAGCGGACTTTTGATAACTTGATCTATTCATACGATGTTCTCTTGTAAACACAATCTTATCTAGACATGGTAAAAACCCTAGCCCTAAGACTATTGTTTCTTATCTTATGCAAACATTTTTTCTCAATATGTTTGTATACAAATATGATCTTACCTTACGATGACTTTATGTTGAATCTTACCTTACGAAGATCTCATGTTAAATGCTAACATCATCTTTTCTTTTCATGATCTCATCTCAACCTGTTCTTATGTTAAGATGATCTTATCTTGAGAATTCTTGAGACATCTTTTTCTCCTACTGCCACGCTGCAAGGTGAGGGGTCTCTGAATTTATGTCACTTATCTCTGCTCCCATCAATGCAGTGGGAAACGTGAAGGATGATGTGATATGGCCTTGTGTCAGGGTATATCTGACTGAATCTGACTCCTAAGTTTGGTTTTAGGCAAACATTACAGGAACTTCCCAGACCCTGGTTTTCGCCCGTATTTCCTGTGAAATGGACCAACAACGACCAGAGGCCAGATATTGCCAGATAGTTTCAATTCTACTGGCCAGGGTAGATCTGACTGCATATTTAGAGTGCAAAATCATAAATGTCCCTTGCCGGCTGGTTGATTCACAAAAGAATAGTAGGTAAACGATGACAAATGAATACTAATGGCTTACCGAACCCGCCCCTGCATGTTTGGAGGACATTGTTGGGCAATGCCTTGGCTGGTTGGTGTAAGTTGTTGGGCCGTCAGTGGTTGTTTGTTCCCATGCCACTCGCTGAGCCTTTTTTTGGATGTGGCAAAGTACGCATCCGACCTTGTTGGAAAAGGACGCATCCCAAGACGATTGGACGTGGAAAATCATGTTCGAAGGTCTAAGAAACACTAGGTGTCCGATTGAACAAGGAAAAATTAGCACATGTTGCAGCATAGCCGACGAGAAGTTTATGCCTTGTGCATCTGCAGGCACACGATATTGAAATATGCATGTGCCCAATGCCATGGCGGCCGATGTGACTGTTCTTGGTGCGGGCGTGAAAGGTGACGAGGCGTGATGAATTTGGAAATGATGAGAAATGTTTGCGGAATATTGGAATATAATGAAGGGGCGCATCAGAAGTGTGTCCTTGAAGGAAAGATTGCATATTTGGGGCTTGTCAGACAAGAAAAATGGTGATGTGTTAGGCGAAGCATTGAATGATTTCCAGACCATGACCCTGCATCATTTGATTGATCCAGAGACTGTGGAAAGCAGAGGAGTGTCAAACTAGAACTCTTGGCTTCCTTCTCCTTGGAAGAAACTTAAGTCTAAAGAGTCTAAAGTCTACGTTTTTTGATCATTTCTCCTCAAGCTCAAATTCCCCTTCAAGGAGGCGCCTGTCGAGCTTGAGGGCGGAAGTTTGCTTGAGGATGGTGGGGTGAAGCAGGAGGCGTATTTTCAGCCCAACTTTTGTCGAAGTGTTATTGCTTGGTGCTTTTCGCTGCTGCTCTTCTGCATTGTCTTGAGCATGTCGAGGATCTTTGAGCTGAGCTCGAAAGTCTCCACGAACGCCCAAGTCTGGGTGGATGTCATAGCGGCCATGTCTCACACAGCACCCCCTGAGTCCGCTGCCATCTTAGCAGCCAGACGCCGAGATCCATCCAGCATTCCCGATGCCACTCTGTTCTCTACTCCCTGGCTGGTCCATCGATTTGCGAAAGCCGGAGTTTCGCCCCATATGTGCCTCCAGTGCCTTATGGTTGGAACGTTATCGTTGAAAGTCTTGGAACTACAAGTGGAGTATGCCAGACGCCATGGCTATGACCTCTACACCTATATTGATGACTCTGAGCTAAGTGACAAAACACACGAAGTTCATTTTTGGAAGATGAGATCAACACAATATTTGATAGAGAGTGGCACGACTGGGTGCGACTACATTTTTTGGATGGATTCAGATGCCATTATCATGAACATGTCCTTTTCTCTGGAAAATCTCATCCATTGGGACGGAATGGAAGACACTGACATCGTGTTGGCGGCGGATACTCTGGCCGCGAATCTGGCTCAAAGTCTTTGGAAGTTCAGCCGATTCACGCACCAGATTTTGGAAGATTCATGGAACATGGGCAGTTTTGCTCCTCTGGTAGAGACGGGGGCCTTTAATGCAATCCTCGGAGGATGCCAGCCAGAAAACAGTCCAGAAGAAAAGGACGCTTGCTACAGACATATGGATGTTGGCTGGCACAATCGCACATTTGCACGGGAACATTTCTATCCAGGAGACAATAGAAAAATCAAAGAACTGGTGGTGAATAAGAGCTTGCTGCCCCACATAAAGTGGGTTCCCAAGCGTGCAATCAATTCCTACCCATTTGGTTATTTTGGAGGTCAATACCGCTGGGGTGATCCAGACTTTATAGTGCACTGTCCCGGCGGCAAAGGGAAGTCCGAAGCTTGGTGGGCCTGGATTCAGCACTTTTTAAATGTATTTGGGGGGCGAACTGGAAGACACTCGTGACGGACGTTGTCAGGAATATGATGAATATGATTGATATCTGGGCAGAATGTTTTTTTCTCAAAAAGCATCTTTGTGCTTGGGGTTTGGTTTAGTCTTCTAGTCGCCAATAGAGCCAGCGTCCAGGGTATGGGTGGACAAGATTGTGGATGGATGATTTCGGGGGGCTGAGCAAGCATAGTGTGAACGGAGCGGAATGTGTGGGTAATGGGTGCGTAAAGCAGGTGCATAGAGTGGTTGGCTTGGACAGACTTTGCAACGGATGGTGTGGAGTGGGCGACTGTTCGCAGCAGCACTTGTCAATGACAACGAGCCAAAAGTTTAAAGATAGGAATCCAGTCGAACGCGTTGAGATGTATAACGTAAATTCCTTAGATGTCAGCTGTGTTCATGGTTTTTCTTTTGGGTTCTTCGGCCCCTTTCGTTTCCCTCTTGGAGTGGCAAAGATGGCCCTGCCTTCTTTCATGTATTTTGTTGGTGCAACACTTGAAGATGCCCCTTGTGAGCCCTTCTCGTTCTGCAGCAGTTCCTCTCTGATGATGACCCGAGAGTAGCTTCGGTTTCCATCCTGGATCCAGCCTCACCCGCAAAGAATTTGGAGGTGATTAGCATAGGCGGTTTCAGGCACTTTTAACATTCCCATCGACTTTAGTTGGCGTGATCCTACTTGCATTTATTCACATTTTTCCCCAGATAGCGAAGCTATTGGGGTTCTTACTTCAAGTATAAGAGGAGTTTCATGTCTGCATTTTGGAGCGGGCATGTTGGTGCCGCTGCACGGTGCTGCTTGAAGGTGCTGCTGTCAGAGTGGTGTGTGCGCCTTGGGCCGGCATGCCCGTGCTTGGTGCTGCTGTCAGTGCGCTTTGGAGCGGGATGGCGGTGCCGCTCTGGAGGGTGCTGTGTGAGCCGTCATGCTGGTGCCGATGCATGGTGCCGTTGCAGCGTGCCGCTGCAGCGTGCTGCCTGAGGGTGTGTGCGCTTTGGAGTGGGAGTGGTGCGCTTTGGAGCTGGCCTGCTGGCCGCTTCAGGGTGCCGCTGCAGGGTGGCTTCAGGGTGGCTTCAGGGTGTTGCTATTAGCTGGGATAGTGGTGCCGCTGCAGGGCTGTCAGAGTGCTGTGTGTGCTTTGGGGCTGGCCTGCTGGTCTCTTGCAGGGTGCCGCTGCAAAGGGCTGTCTGCATCTTGGGAATGTTACTACAGGGTGCTGCCGTGCGGTCGTTGGGCCCTGATGGAGATTACGTTTATGCCGCGAGCGTTTGGTTGCCACCAATAAATATCTTTTGCTATCTGGGGTCTATTATGGCGTAATTTTTGGAAGTTCATCTATTCCAATTTTCCCGGCATCCCCCCCAAAGGGATGGCCCAACCACCGGCGCAGCCAAGGTGTTTTTGCCGCAATACATCGAGCGGGGCCTGTTGAATGCCGGCCTGCCCCCTGATCCAGCGGCAGACGCCCGCAGAGATCCCAGTGGTGTGCCAAACGCCACCAGCAGTACCAGGCCCTGGGTCATTCACCGATTTGCCCGGCCCGGGTGTCGCCCCATATCTGTTTGCAGCTTGGGGGTACCATCAAAAAGTAAGTATTTTGATTTACTTTGTTTCAGTTTTCCCAAGATCCAGGGAAACCGCAGTTTTTAAAAATTGTTTCGGGCCCATTAAGAAGCAAACCCAAGGCAGTCAGAATGGGTAGACCATTCTTACCGGGGCGGCAACAAGAAGAAACTGCATGCTGCAGGAACTAAGAATTCACTATGCCAAACTTCATGGCTATGACCTCTACAGTTTGGGATCTGAGCCAACAAGGCCCAGGCTCACCCGAAGGGAGTCGACCCAACTGTTGATTGACAAGACGGACTGTGAGTATATCTTCTGGTTGAGCGTCGATGCAGTCATCGTGGACATCAACTTCAAAATTGAGAGCTTGATCAAGTGGCAAGGTGCCAGCGACACAGATCTCGTAGTGGCCGGGAATTATGGAAGAAGTAGCTGCGGAATCAGGTCCGACCCCGGCTGGTAGTGGGGAGAACATGAGTGCCAAGACTATCCTTGACCAGTACATCCGTGGAGTGGTGAGATTCCAGACCCTCCAGGAAGAAGGAGTGGACACGGTAGCCAAACCCCAGCGGAAGGCCATCTTACCCACAAAAGAAGTAATCTGGACCCTGGAAGAAGTAGCTGCGGAATCAGGTCCGACCCCGGCTGGTAGTGGGGAGAACATGAGTGCCAAGACTATCCTTGACCAGTACATCCGTGGAGTGGTGAGATTCCAGACCCTCCAGGAAGAAGGAGTGGACACGGTAGCCAAACCCCAGCGGAAGGCCATCTTACCCGCAAAAGAAGTAATCTGGACCCTGGAAGAAGTAGCTGCGGGATCAGGTCAGACCCCGGCTGGTAGTGGGGAGAACATGAGTGCCAACACTATCCTTGACCAGTACATCCGTGGAGTGGTGGGATTCCAGACCCTCCAGGAAGAAGGAGTGGACACGGTAGCCAAACCCCAGCGGAAGGCCATCTTACCCACAAAAGAAGTAATCTGGACCCTGGAAGAAGTAGCTGCGGGATCAGGTCAGACCCCGGCTGGTAGTGGGGAGAACATGAGTGCCCACACTATCCTTGACCAGTACATCTGTGGAGTGGTGAGATTCCAGGTGGCCTGCAGTGCACGATTCAGAGTTTTTGTCCCTGACTGTGCATACCAGTTCGGATTCCCACGAGGGCAACGGCAATACCTGGGAAACTGGACCACGGGGACAACAGCAGGCATCTACACCAGGGACAAGCGGAATGTAGCAGAAAAAGTCTGGAAAGCAGTGGGGGGACAAGATGGGTATCCTCAAGCTGGACAACCCCACTGCGCTGCGTCGGATTGACCTCAACCACGAAGATTGGGACGACCCGACCCCGGGCCAGGACGATGTCAGACGGGAGCTGGACATGGAGGTCCTTGACACGCCAGATCATCCTGTGGAGGATGCAGCAATGACAGGAAGCCACTCCAACAAGCGGCGCCGGACGCCCACAACGGCAGGGAGCCTAGGGACGTGGCAACTGATCCGGGATGACCAACAACTTCCACCCCCACTGGGTCCATTGCGGGTGGTGTCATCCTCGAAGAAATCTACTTGGATGACCGGCGTGGTTGCTAAGTAGTTGTTGCCTATTAGCGAAGGTACAGAAGTGACTTGGCAAACTTATAAAGGCACACATACGGCCTACATAGAGGGCTACTTAGCGGCTACTTCGGAGGTATACATAGCATGGGATACAGAAGCTTGCTATGTATGCCATGGCATACTTACTAAGTATACTAAATGGCTATCGGCACACATACCAAGTATACCAAACCTGCTTATGTAAGTAGTTTAAGTGGCCCTGGCGAACTTACTATGTAGGCCATGGCGGACTTACTAACCAGGTTTTGGCGGACCTACTAACTAGGCCTAACTAGGCCATTGAAGATTCTTATAGTAGGTCGTGGCGGATCTATAAGGACATGAATAGAGGAGGCTGAAGTGGATAATATATAGGAAAAAAACATTGACTTCTTCTGGGCTGTCAACTTTTAATCCTTTTTCACCTCAAATTCATATTGGAAACTTGATTTTTTTAATATGGACTTGGGACGGCCGAACACAAAGAAACAAGAAGCTGAGCTATGTTGACCTGCTGCATGGACTTTCGAAGCTATACTTAGGGTAGCAGACGAAGACATTGAGCAAAGATGAAACTCAGCGACATTGCCTTTTCAAGAGAGCGTTTACCAACAATGTTTCTATACAGAAGGAAACGCTCCGCATTGCCCAAGAGGAGTCTGCAGAGCCTCCAGGATGGCAACAAATCGAAATCAACCGATGGAGCGCAACTGCATGCGAGCCTAAATAGATATACAGAGCCCAGCATGCTCGTTGCACCTTGGTGACATTTGCAGTGATGTCGATGTCATGGTCCTGGCGCGCAAGGTTTTGGAATGGATCTTTAATTAGGCGATTGAGATGCATCCATCACAAAGCAGGCTGGGCAATGGCTCGCTTACTGTATTCTGGAGGTGACATATAAAAAGCCAACAATAGAAATCCAACTATGTGAGAACCCTGCTGAGACACTACAACGACGCCAAAAGACATGAAGTTTTGATGAAATCAGAACTTGGCTGATCGAAGGCAGGTTCTGACAAACAGCCTGCAAGATTCTTTTTCCAGTCATGGTCACCACGTGACCTCCTAATTTCCTATTCCAAACATTTCACTCCCGCCGTCATCAGTTCTTTTGCGTTACCAGCTCGCCCAAGTAGAACATGCGGCAACTGCAGCCTGATTTTCAGGCATTGGTCGAAAGATGCAAGTGTCTCGAATGCACTCCAGCTCGAATAGAACTGGATCCAAGCCTTCGCAATTGAATATGTTGTTTCCCAACGGCTCCCAAGGCTGAAGGCATACCCATTCAGCATCATCTACAGAAGCAAAAAACAAGACTTGGCCTAGCAAAGGGTCATTGAGATCTTCTATTTGACAGATCACCACATCATCCTTGAAGACTCGGGCTCCTGGTGCGTAGTAGGCAGAGCGAGCCACCTTTGCGATATGGAACCCGCCCAAAGTTCGATACAGCAATTTCTTGGTCGCCATCGGGGCTTCTTGGGGCTGGCATATTCCGCCATAGAAGGATTCATCTTGGTCCTCCATCAGAGAGTCAAGCATGTCGCACGCAGCATCCACCATCACAGATCTCTCCCAGGCGCTCCAAGTGTTGCAGATCAACTGAGCATGTCGCTTGATCTCTTTGTGCTTCCGTTCGTGGCACCAACACGACACAAGTGTCCCATGCCGATGCAACATTCTGCAGAGATGGAGGCTGTAATGATGCTTCGGCAAGAATCGTGTATCTTGATATGCATCCTTGAAGGCTGACAAATGTGCCACAACTGCAACCTCCAATGCCCTCGGGGTTGTCTTGCCCAGTTTCACCTGTTGAAGCAAATCCAAGACATGGCACAGTCGAAAATAGGATTCGCATTCAGCACGGATGGCGTGCAAATTCTGTGTTTGCATTGCTTCAAGGAGAACCAATCTTAACACACCGTAAACTGATAGGCACTCACTCGCCGAGCACTTGATGTCTTCATTCTGATCTCCCTTTGCAATTTTTTTTTGTCCTGTGACACCGCGGCTTCTGATAGCTTGCGGCCAGATAAATTTTTGAAGTTCATCATGCAGATCAGCTTGCGTGATGCCGATTTCCTGGAGCTTTGCCACAAGGAGGCCAGCCTCCACATTCCAAAGTCCAGCCACGCAAAAGCAATGCATCCAGTCAAACATCAGGACGCTCACGGCTTTGATGTCCAGCTCCGCCGATCGCAAGAGTCCATGTGGGTTGTGGTTGAAGCCAAGAGCCTGGGTCATCTTGCTAAACTTTGCCTTGGACACTCGCCCGTCGGCCTGTTCTTCAAGGTAATCCAAGATCTGCTTGACGGTGGCATCAGTCTGGGCGTCCACTAGGGAAAGATCTATGGTCGTGCTCGGAACGAATGCTGCCCGGTGATGATGGAGATCCGACTTGTGGTCCACTAGATTGCGACATAAGGGACAACATATCGTTCCAGCTGCCCCTTTCATGTCTATCATCTCCTTAAGTGCCACCTCATCGGCCACAATGACCTCAACAGCAGCGAAGACCATGGAGCAGTGCCCATCAGCAAACCGCACTTGAACCCCTTCCCGCACATCAATTGGCAAGATGAACTGCTCGAGGCATCGCCTGAAGTACTCAGACATTTTACCTGGCAGCCTCTTGACATGCTCTGACCGAGCGATGCCTGCCAAGAACCAACACCTCTCAGAGGAAAGTGCTACAGGTCCAAACTCCTTGATGCTCCAGTATATGACTTGCACCTTTCGCTCAAGCCTATGAGCCAATACATTTCCAGGGCTGATCTCATCGGCATAGGCCAGTATACTCAGTGGTCTCTGCCTGGACGGCTTGTAGTGATCGAGAACCTGTCTCATCATCCGAGCAAATTCAGACTCTTGTGCACAGAGGTGGTACAGTAAGGGGAGAGGTGCCAGAAACGGAAGCTCAACGTTCTTAGCCTTCATATGTGGTTTTTTTTTGTCTTTTTTTGCTCTGGCAGAGTCACAGTATAGGAAGACAGCAAGCATCCCAGCGGCGTCTGCACCTCCACGGTGGTGTCCCGTTGCCTCTTTACTGTCTGTCTGGAGATTGCACTTGGAAACTCTCTGTCTCTCAGGTCCTTCAGCACGGCTTCCAAGCCACTTCGTGAGATTACGTGGCGTCTACCAAGTCGTCCAACTTCGACCGCCATTGCAAAATGATGGCTCTTGCAGGCGTGCCACAAGTCACAGCCTGTTTAAAGCCACCAACCAGGATATGAATTGTTGTTTTGGAAAAGTCGTGAGCATGCCTTTCGATGTTCGTTCCATGTGATAACAGCCACACAACAGTGTAGATATATATATATATGTGTGTGTGTGTGTTCAGAGCCACGAAGGCAAGAACATGCCTTCGATTTCGTTATATCAACTATTGCCACACACACAAACACACAATAACTATATAGACCTATATATGGAGCAGGATGGAAAAAGACAAGCCCTTTCGATTATGATTCCATGTGGTAATTATTGCCACGGGGTATAGTAGAGCGAGATGCGTCTGTCTTTGCAAGATCTGAAAAAACAAGTCCTGAGGTGCCTGCATCATCGGTATATGTTCAATCCAAAACATGTGAAACCATGCAAGTTCAAGGTCAACACAGCGATCACACACACAGACTGCTTGAGCAAAGCCATGGACGCTGATGGCATCAGCAGGAAACAAACTCCGTCGCATGCTTTCTTCTTGCATGCTGATGGCATCAACACTGCATCAACAGGAAATGAACTCTGTCACATGATTTCGTCTCCCTTGGATGATGACAAGACTATATATAGAAAAAGTTGTGCTATAGCAAACCGATGTTTTTGTATGCAGATCCTCCAGCGTGCGGAAAACGCCAAACTCTTTTTGACCAGCGCGAAGAATCTCTAGTCCACATTCTCTGCCACCTCAGCGCGTTTCCGCAGGGCAGTCCCCTCTTCGATCAACCGGAGTGCCTTGTGAAATGATGCGACCTCATCATCTCCGAACTTGACTTTCTTGTCGTTCCTGTCTTTCTTGTCGATGAAGACTCGCCAACAAGTGGCGGCTGGGTTGCGATGCACTTTGCCTTCGAGCCAGAAGAATGTGCCGTTCCATGGCACTGGTGGATTTGGCAGCTCGGAGGCGCCTTCTTTCGGTGGCTCCACACTCTCTGCAGCCGCGGTCTTGACAGCCGCCTTCGGTTTGGCCTTGCCTGACGCCTTTGGGGCGCTCTTCGCACCAGCCTTGGTTTTGGCTGCAGTCTTTTTCACAGAAGGAATGTCCCCTTCTTTGCTTCCTTTGTCTTCTTCCGTCTTCTTGGGAATGCTTTTCGCTTTTGCCGCAGGCTTTTTCATCACAGGACCGCTCTCTTCATCATCTTGCTTGTTGTCTTGCTTCTGCTGCACCTTGCTTTTCTCACGGCTCTTCAAGGCAGCTTGCAAGTCTGCAACATACTCTTCTGGACTCTTGGTCCCCTCTGGGGACGTCGCAAAGAGTTGCTTTGCAGGCGGGGTACTCTGTGCGCTCCCTGGTGTTTTCTGGGGGGCACTCTGTCTTGGCGTAGTAGTCGGCGGACTTCTATCGACCCCTGCTGTGGAAGCTTGTGGGCGTTCTGCAGCGTCATTGTCGCCAGGGTCATTGCCAGGCTCTTCTGCAGGCTTGTCCATGATGGCCTTGGGCGCCTTCTTGGCTCTTTTGTTTGCAAACACCTCCAGCCCAATAGAGTCGGGACTCGTGCCTTCCCGGTGCATCATCATCATTTGAAGCATTGACATCATTTGCATCATCATGGGGTTTTCTCCCATTGCTGTGGACATGGTTTCAGGAAAGGACTGTTTCCTTTTTTCCTTCACAGAGCCATGACTCTTGCGGCTGGGTAGCCCGGCAGACATTCCAAGGCTGGCCGTGCATTCTTGCACCGGCTGGTCGTCTGGAGGAAAGACTCGATTGAAAACTTCTTGGGGGAGGTCGAAAGGATTGTCTGGAAACGTTTGCATCAAAGGCACCTTCTCAAGATGCTTGATCTTGCTTCGGAGCATATCCTTGAATTGCTTCACCTGCGTGTAGAAGGCCTTCGAATCATCAGACTTCATGCCACCTGAAAGAGTTTGGCAAATTGCCACGGTAAGCTCATGATGAAGAGGTAAAATGTGCAAACCATGAACCTGTGGCCAACACGTATCCCCGTTGTGAAAAGCATGATGACAAAATCACACTGACCATGCATGCAGTGAATGATGAACTTCATCCAAGCTACAGTCTACTGCCGACTTCACGATGTGCGTGGCCACCTTTTCTGTCGGGAGATGGAGTCCCAAATTGACGCATTTGTCAGCAAGAAGCTCGAGCTTCGTGTTGTTGTGCTTCTTGGAGTCTGCCAGGAGCTGCATGTCACTGGCGGTAAAGTAGGCTGCAAAAGCCTTGATGACCTGTGATGGTCGCTTATTCCCTTTGTTGCCCTTCGATTCCACATGTTCTTCCATTTGCTCACAAAGCACTTTGCCAAACGTATCCAGCTGATCCTGTTTCCATGGACCATTGGCCAAGGCCTCGGAGAGCTGGGTGGCCTCTATAGCTGTGATCTTGCAGGAGCGCAGCCGGTTCATCCACACCTTCACCTGGTTGTCGACCATCTTGTCGAAGGTGGCTGCATCTGATATCAGCTGCTTTTGCCGTGCCAAGAAGCCCTGGATGCCATGGAGATCACTGAGCATCTGCGAGCCCTCGCTGGACCCAGCAGAGTTGTGCGACATGATGGTCCGAACGTTTTCTTGTCACATCTACAGACTACTATAGGAGTCTTGATACATCTTAAATCACCTGCAGTATGCTTGGCTTCGGTTGCCGCATGCACGGATTTTAGTTTCAGTTGTGGACTGCTGGTCTGCAATTGGCAGCTGACAAATTGAACCCTTAATATCAAAAAAATGGGCAAACTTGAAAACTACAATCATACCAAACGACACATGTGCTCTCCCATGCATTGTCAGCTTTTTGTCCTCGGTGAATTGAACTGAATGAAGTTCTGGCATGCTCCAGATTTCTTCACTAATCTCCAAACAGGAAAGCCAAGTAATAAGTTATGAGCCCCCTATATGTGGAGATGCTGGCGAGCTCAACTGCCCAACCAGCAAGATGCAACAATCGACCCTGTCAATTCCAGCCTCGAAGCATCGAGCCAATGCCATGGGTCCTGCAGGTGCATGGGATGCACGCCGTAAGATGCACGGAGACTATATACTATATATATACTTCTCCATTATATATATATAGAGATACTAATAAAAAATATTAATAATAATAATAATAAAAATAAAATAATAATAATAATGATAGTAATAATAATAATAATATATGTATTTTTTAAATTATATATATATAGTTTTCATACATATATATATATAGAGAGATTAATATATATATATATATATAGAATATAATATACATAATATAAAATATATCTATATATAATATAATATAATATAATATAATATACATATATATATATTTATACATATATATATTTATACATATATATATATTTATACATATATATATATTTATACATATATATATATATTGGGCAGATGCTGCAATTTCTATATACTGGGGCATGTGTCCAGGGGGGTGCATGGCTGGTCAAAAGTTGGAAACCCCACTGCACGGATGAAAGCATGCTGGGCAATTGCTCGCATGTTGATGTGTATGGACGATGCATGTCGTCCAACCTCACTTCCATAATATGAACGATGCCACTGTTTTGATAAAGGTTATTGGCACATCATTCTTGAATGTTGAGTGATTTGAGAATCATGCCACTGCATGCGAGCCCAATGCGCCCAGCATGCTGGCGATCAATGCGTCAGCCTCCACGCAGTAGACAAACTGCCGCAGAAAGTTGGTCCTGACATGTTGCGGTGGTCCGCCATGAGCAAAAAAATAAACTGAAAACCAGTCCGTGAAACATCCTTCAAGTGCAGTGATATCGGTTTACTTGTGTTTGAAGTGAAAGTTGGGTTATGGGCAACTGCAATCTATGATTGAAATCACATGGAAATTCAAAAGCCATGCACCACAACCGGACAGAAGCAAACTGGAATGTAAAAAAATAAAAGCAGTTTTCGTGAATCTGCATGCAACTTGACAGAGACAACCCATGCCAGCAAAAACCAACGGCACGCTTTGCCTCTTCCATTCATGGGCGAAGACTCCTGAGGCGCGGCAGGCAGTAGATTGACAATGGCACGACACAGCGTGTGTTTTTTTTTGGTAATTATATATATATATATAATAGTGTTGACAAACACTGATTCTGATTTCAACATGTATAGGGACATAAGTCACACGCAGCTATCATGAACTCATGCAGAAGCAGGTTGGGCAAGGTCTCGCCTGCATTGCTGGGGCTATATATGCATGGTTGTGTAGATGTAGATGGACATGCAAACCAATCCGAAACCTGAAAGCAACTGTGTTTCCGCGCCGCATGCGAGAGCGCCACCGGTCATGGGTCTGTCGGTCGTCAGCCAATTACGTGAAAACTGAATTTAATCCAAATTGACAATGTGCAATGGTTCTGCAACTAGATTCCTAGATTTTCGGCTCTTTAAGAATGCATTTAAAAAATTAAACAACTATCATCAGTATGACCCCATCTATTGAAAATCAACCCCAATTCCGCTTTCACACAGTGAGCACGCATTCTTGTTGATGCGGCCTTAAATCACCAATTCGGGCAGCCCGACAATCAGTTGGTGGTCAGTCAGAAAACCGAGTATAGCTTGTGAAGAGTTGGATTACCCAAGCTATTTTATCGATTGTGGCTGCTCATGCACCTGCGGTCGCATGCTTTGTTCCGAGCTGGTCGTACAAACAAAACCTGTGCTTTATTTACTTTCATTAAACGCACCATAATTTGATATGCCAGAAACTAAAGTTGAATGAACGAAACGGCCTATGCCAGAACAATTGCAAAAAATGGATGTGTGAAACAGTGAAACAAATCTTTGAATTCGATCATGCAATGATGGGTGAAACGAGCTATCGGTATGCAGGCTATAGCATCCGATCGGCCTGCATTCTTGTTGCACAATCTGTTCTTGATGTGTTAATACATTAATAAGGGCTACATGACAAAGTTCATGTGACAAAAATACACCCCCTTTGAACAATTACAAAAATAAA